AAGTCATGATTTTGCTGAAAAATTCCAGTCTTTTTTCCAAAAATGTTTTCAAAATGCTAAATATTGATGAGAAACGTGCAGAAAAGATACCATTTTGAAAACGTTTTTTTCAAAGAATTTCATCAAAATATGATGAAAAAATTCTAAAATACTTTCCAAAAAAATTTTCAAAATGCTAAATTTTGATGTGAAATGTGTAAAAAACATAAAATTTTGAAAATATTTTTTTCAAACATTTTTATCAATTTTTCAACATCTGACCATGTCAGGATTTTGCTGAAAAATTCCATAAAATGTTTTTTCAGCAAAAATTTCAGTTTCAAAACGCTATATTCTGATGAGAAACAGAGTCAGAGACAGAGAAGAAGAGGAGGGCGTTTGGTTAGGAGAAAAAGAGAAAAGATGAAGAATAGAAGTGTTAGTCTGAAGTTTGGAACTTTGAATGTAGGTACAATGACAGGGAAAAGTAGAGAAATAGCTGATGTGATGGAGAGAAGAAGAGTAGATATTTTGTGTGTGCAGGAGACCAGGTGGAAGGGCAGTAAGGCTAGAAACATTGGAGGAGGCTACAAACTGTTTTATCATGGTTCAGATGGGAAGAGAAATGGAGTAGGGGTGATCCTAAAGGAAGAATATGTAAGAAATGTGGTAGAGGTGAAAAGAGAGTCAGACAGGTTGATGTGTGTGAAGGTAGAAGTAGAAGGAGAGATGATTAATGTTGTTAGTGGTTATGCCCCACAGGTGGGCTGTGAGTTGGAAGAAAAGGAGAAGTTCTGGAAGGAGCTAGATTGGATGGTAGAGAGTATCCCCAGGAGAGAGAGAGTGGTGATTGGAGCAGACCTAAATGGTCATGTAGGGGAAGGGAACAGAGGAGATGAGGAAGTGATAGGCAGGTTTGGTGTTAGGGAGAGAAACGTAGAAGGACAGGCAGTGGTAGATTTTGCAAAGAGAATGGAAATGGCTGTGGTAAACACATATTTCCAAAAGAAAGAGGAACATAGGGTGACTTACAAGAGTGGAGGCAGGTCCACACAGATAGATTATATTCTATGTAGAAGATGTAATCTGAGGGAGATTAGAGACTGTAAGGTGGTGGCAGGTGAGAGTGTAGCCAAACAACATCGGATGGTAGTGTGTAAAATGACGATGGAGGTGACAAAAAGGAAGAGAGTGAAGACAGAGCAGAAGATCAAGTGGTGGAAACTAAGGAAAGAGACATGTTGTGAAGACTTCAGGAAGGAAGTAAGGGCAGTTCTGGGTAGTGTTGAGATATTCCCAGATGATTGGGAGACTACAGCTGCAGTGATGAGGGAGACAGGTAGGAAGGTGCTAGGTATGTCCTCTGGGCAGAGAAAGGAGGACAAAGAGACCTGGTGGTGGAATGAGGAGATCCAGGAGAGTGTGCAGAGAAAGAGATTAGCGAAGAAGAGATGGGACAGTGACAGAACAGAAGAGAACAGACTGGAGTACAAAGAGAGGACAAGGGAGGTGAAGAGGGAAGTGGCCAAGGCCAAACAAAAGGCATATGAGGAGTTGTATGAGAGTTTGGAAACAAAGGAAGGAGAAAAGGAGTTGTATAGATTGGCGAGACAGAGAAATCAAGCTGGGAAGGATGTGCAGCAGGTGAGGTTGATTAAGGACAGAGAGGGGAATGTGATCACAAGTGAGGAAAGTGTGCTGAGAAGATGGAAGGAATACTTTGAGGAGTTGTTAAATGAGGAAAATGAAAGGGAAAGTAGAAACGAGGAGCCAGAGACTAGTAGGAAGAAGGTAGATCAGGTTAGAAAGGATGAAGTTAGAAAAGCCCTGAAGAGGATGAAGAGTGGAAAGTCAGTTGGTCCTGATGACATACCAGTGGAAGTATGGAAGTGTTTAGGAGAAGTGGCAGTAAATTTCCTGACTGGTTTGTTTAACAGAATTTTAGAGACTGGCAAGATGCCTGATGAGTGGAGAAAAAGTGTTCTGGTGCCAATTCATAAGAAGGGTGATGCACAGAGTTGTAACAACTACAGAGGGATAAAGTTGATGAGCCATACAATGAAGATTTGGGAACGAGTAGTTGAAGCTAGGTTGAGGCAGGAAGTGGAGATTTGTGAACAACAGTATGGTTTCATGCCTAGGAAGAGTACCACAGATGCAATATTTGCCTTGAGGATGTTGATGGAGAAGTACAGGGAAGGTCAGAAGGAGCTGCATTGTGTATTTGTAGATCTAGAAAAGGCATATGACAAAGTGCCAAGGGAGGAATTGTGGTTTTGTATGAGGAAGTCAGGAGTGGCAGAGAAGTATGTTAGTTTGGTGCAGGACATGTATGAGAATAGTACAACAGTAGTGAGGTGCGCTGTTGGGAGGACAGAAGACTTCAAAGTGGAGGTGGGACTACATCAAGGATCGGCCCTGAGCCCCTTCTTGTTTGCTGTGGTGATGGACAGATTGACAGATGAGGTCAGACAGGAGTCCCCATGGACTATGATGTTTGCAGATGACATTGTGATCTGTAGTGAGAGTAGGCAGCAGCTAGAAGAGAACCTAGAGAGGTGGAGGTTTGCACTAGAAAGAAGAGGAATGAAGGTCAGTCGCAGCAAGACAGAGTACATGTGTGTAAACGAAAGGCAGAACAGTGAAATAGTGAGGCTACAAGGAGCAGAGGTGGTGAAGGTGCAGGAGTTTAGGTACTTAGGATCAACTGTTCAGAGCAGCGGAGACTGTGGAAGAGAGGTGAAGAATAGAGTACAGGCAGGATGGAACAGCTGGAGAAAAGTGTCAGGAGTGATCGGTGGCAGAAGAGTGTCAGCTAAGGTGAAGGGAAAGGTTTACAGGACAGTGGTGAGACCAGCCATGATGTATGGTTTAGAGACAGTAGCAATAGGCAGAAGACAGGAGGAGGAGCTGGAGGTGGCAGAGTTAAAGATGCTAAGATTCTCTTTAGGAGTGACAAGAATGGACAGGGTCAGGAATGAGGTCATTAGAGGGACAACACAGACAGGAAGGTTTGGAGAAAAAGCTAGAGAAGCCAGATTGAGATGGTTTGGACATGTGCAGAGGAGGGACAGTGGATACATTGGTAGAAGAATGTTAGAGATGGAGCTACCAGGTAGGAGAAAGAGAGGAAGGCCAAAGAGGAGATATATGGATGCAGTGAGGGAGGACATGCAGGTAGTTGGAGTCAGAGTAGAAGATACAGAGAACAGGGAGAGATGGAAATCAATGATTTGCTGTGGCAACCCCTGAAAAAGGGACAAAGCCGAAAGAAAAAGAAGATATTCTGATGAGAAACATGCAGAAAAGATAACATTTTCTTTTTTGAATTTTTTTGACAAAATCCTAATTTCACATGTCATGTTGGTCTAAAGTTGAAAGATTTTCTTGAGTCTTTGAAAAAACAAACTTCATGTTTTATATAATTTCTGCTTGTTTCTCATCAAATTACAGCATTACATTTTTTTATTTTTTTTTATTTGTAAATATTTGGAAAAATCCAAGTTTGGCATGTCGTATTGGTCAAAAGTTGTACTTCTTTTTTTTTAGTTTTGTGCTAAAATTCTATTTTTGTGTGTCATATGCTCAGATTGTAAAAGACTGATGAAAATGTTTGGACATTTTTTTCTCAAAATTTACATTATCAAGTTTTAACCAACATGACATGCAAAATTAGGATTTTGCCAAAACATTCCACCCAAATTTATTTTTCAAAATGCTCTAATTTGATGAAAAATATGCAGAAAACATTTTTTTGAAAAACTTTTGACTAACATGGTATGCGAAATTAGGATTTAGATTTTTTTTAGAATTCTTTTTAAGAATTCTTTTTAAGAAAGTTTAGAAAAAAGTTTAGATTATGTTTTTGTATTTGCAAATCTGGGTGGATTACATACCCTTCTAAATCCCAGCATTTTTAGCTCAGGTACTTGAGAACTGTCCATGTTGGTCCCAAGGTGTCTCTCCTTAAATTTAGTTTGAAATGAAAACATTTCCAAGCAGAACCTGAAATGAAGCACAGAAGTGTTCTGTAAATTTGTGAGAAACTTTATTGAAAACAGTGGTGGTGGTGGTGGATTGTTGAGCTGAGACCTTTTCCCTGATTTACCTCGACCAAACAAAGTCTCAAACTACACTATATTAGCATAAAATACAGTAAAATATTTAAAGACGTTACAACACAAATCTGATGCCAACACTGCTCGGAAGAATTCACTTAAAATAATAAAAAAAAGAACTTAAAGCCACACAAATACTTACTTTCTCCAGCCAAACATACACACATGAGAAGAAGTCTGGTGCGATTCAGACAAAATGTTAATTTGTCACTTTTACGTCACTGTCTGATTGTGGAAAACATTTGTTTTTGATTAAATGGTGTTGCGACTTTTCCAGACTGGCCACAAGTGGGCATAGCTGTTTCTATAGAAATACATTAATCAAAAGTGTTCAACAGTGTGGGAAATTCATGTCAAAATCATTACAGGTGTATCCAAAGTTGTATGTTGTTTAATTAAAAAACAACAACAAACCTATCATTTCTAAATTGTAATATGAGCAGGTCAAGACTACCAGGTTTCACAATATTTGTGTATGTGTAATCAGTTCATATATAATAAGCTAAACTGGGGGAAAAAGGTGTTAAAACGAAAAGGATTAAGTCATTCCTCTGAAGCCACTGTCTCTATACTTCATAAATACATTCAAGACTTAGTTGATACAGATACTCTTTTAAAAGGACATGGTTATACCTGTCTAAACATCACTACATATCACATGTGCACTTAAATTAACATGAATCCATCACAGATCTGACCATGTCTTTCTCTTAGTTAACAGCATTGACACTTCTCTTCCTACCTCAACGTGAAGAAACATAATTTAAAACAGTCAAAGACATAAATGTGAGTAAACAGACAAGATTAATCATACACACAGTAATATATTTTCTAAAACCAGAGGACCTCACTAAATTAGTGTAAAACTTTAAAACAACGATTTGAAGTTTTCCTTTCTTCCAACTTGGTTAAGCTTTAAGTGTTGTTACAACTTTGTGACAGGAGAAAATTCTCTCTTCACACACAAACCCCTCCTCTCAAGATGTAAAATACATGTAACACAAAACAATAATTGTACACCTGGATAAAAGAGGGATAAAACCGGGGCATTAACAATATGTTGGAGAGGGGGGAAATTAACTACGCATAATATCAAATAATACCAAAAAGACGTTTCAAAAACACTCAAAACAGTCCACAGCTGGAAGTTAGATTCTACCGTGTGGACAAAAAGCAGCAAACGGTAAGTGATTATTGGTTATTCTATAAGAAATACAGTTAACAGTCCATTGGTGACAGTGTGTGGGGAAGCAGATTCTGTCTCTATAGGTACGGATACTGTGCCAGCCTCCTGGGACTCAGCTGGTAGCCACTGTAAGCCTCGGCCCGAGGTGTCAAACTCACGTAGGGAGAACCGGTTGCAAACTGATGCTGGTAGGCTGTGGGGAGGCCGTGCAGCAGATTGCTGACCGAATCCCTGCGACTGGCCGAGTCCCTCCTGGTAGAAGCACTGGAGGTGTATGTTGCTACATAAGCAGAGGGGGAGTGTCCATGGCCGCCGTGACCACGGCCCAGCAGTTGCTCCATAGCCTGAGAAGCCGAGGAAAGGGCGCTGGAGGCTGGGTACGTATACAGACTGGAGCCAGCGGCCGAGGCAGACGTCAACGCTGAGACCTCTGGGAAACTGTACTGAGAGGCAGAGACGGCCTGAGGGAACGTTTGCTGGCGGCGCAGAGATGAATCACTGTGGGACACTCCTAAACGCTCCTGAGATGAAGAGACCACTGGCTGCACATGATGTAGATAAAGAGACACACAGTCATGACACGGGATTAGGTAACACACTAATTAAATTCAACAATTACTATAAAGTATGAGTGCAAACAGCTATTTGTCAAACATATGTCAACGTCTGACAGAAATGACCTTTTGCTTCCACTGCACCCTCAAAGTAAGTAAACATCTTGCTGAGTCAGTGTGTGAACAGAGTGGCGGGAGAAGAATCTCAGATCTTGCTCAACAATGTCCTTTCACCTCTGCTCCATGTCAAACTCATGGTTTTAGTTCCTGGTGCGGTTATCTAACTACATCTTTTTCTGCTAAATTAAGACTTTTAGGTCAGACAAGTATTTGCTTCTGACATTTTCAACACTTTAAGGCTACAAGCACTTTACAAGGCTGAAATTTTAACTGTTGTAAATATTCTGGGGCATTAGGATGTTTTTTCGTACTTAAGTTTTATCTACTGTCACGACTTTGTTTTGATGTTTTCATTTTTTCACTTAAGGAAAATTTATATTACAACAATAGCTATACCGTTATAAGTCTGATACTTCATACAAATGCTTGTACTTGAAAACATTCAGAGCCAGCAACCCTATGATATTAGTACTCAAAAATGTAAATATTGTAATATAAGGACAGCCCTAGTTAAAACATCAGTCAGTTTATCAGCTGTGAACTTAAGTCATTTCAACATCAAATTCACAGCTTTGCCTGTTGTGCAGTTTAGGATGTAAAGGATTATTTAATTAACATTAATCAAACAATTAAATGGCAACCAACAGTAAAAAAAAACAGCCACCACAGAAGCCTTACCTGGCTGAGGTTTAAAGGGTGCGACTGACTGGGCATCAGCCTATGAGGATCCAGGCTCTCCCCTGAATTGCAAGGCTGTCGGTTGGACCTTTTAGGCTTTATGTAGTTGACTGTGGATTACAGGTTGGGCTTTGTTAAAGACACATAATGCTTTTACCTCCAGAATAACAATTTACTACTAGCAGACAAGTGAATCCTACCAGTATCCAAGCGTGCATGTGAAGCTGCTGCTCTCTCAGAGCCCTGGGATTTCACTGAAGGTGCCACCACTGCCAGGGACTTGACTTGGCGCGAGGACATGGTACTTGCAGTATTAAGTGTGCGAGGCAGAGGTGTCAGGGGGCTTGCAGTGGACGAGTCAGAGTCATGCACTGTCACGCAGCTGATTACATTAGTGCGCTGGCTCAGACTGACACTGTGTGGAGACACAAAGTGAGTTTTTAGATCAACTAAATCAAGAAATAAGACCAAAAACATCAAAGATAAAATAAAAAACAACAACAATGGTCATAGTTAAACTAACTGTGGTCCATTTATTGGACTAAAATCCTTGTCACGATAGAAAGAATTCTAACAATGGACAGACAAATTTTGTTAAAAAAGAAAAAGTGTCTTTTTCTTTTTTAACACAGGATGGTTGTTGATTTCTTTTTTTACCTGGCTGGATGAAACTTGCGCTCATCTTCTGTGTCAGTGTCACTGTGAATCGTGATGATGCTGACCGCTGGACTGGGTGTGTCAGAGATGATGATTGGCTGGGACAACACAGTGGTGGAAGCAGATGGGGTCACACTTCTACTGCTGAGTGTTGTGGTGGAGACACCCCTAAAAACACAACATCAAGACAACACTGAATGGTGAATAAAAGTGAAAACAAAATGTTACTGCAGGACTGCAAATACTGGAAGGTCAAAGGACATTGTAGAAAACTAACATTTCAATTTGTAATTTAATTTAATAAAATTAAACATAAAACTCATACATGAAGACTGGCTCAGTTAAGCTACTTACTGCAAAGAAGCCCTTTTGCATTAGCAATTACTTTGTGTTTGTCCAGACTCCACCAGAGTCAAGGGAATATGTGAATATTTATGTTACTAATAATTATTAAACTGAAGTTATTCTTATGCTGTGCTTAATTGAAAAACAAGGGCAAAAACAGACAATTACCTGTTTCTATTTTCTCCTCGTCTCCCCTTTACCTTCTTCCTCTCTTGCTGAGTCCTGGCTTGGGTTGCGCTCCTTTTAAAAGTCCAAAACAAAACGATTGGTGTAAGACAACACTCTTGCACCAACACATCACAGAACTGGGCTTAATATTCAAACGCCAGGGTATCCTGCTCAAACGTCCCTCACACACAATCAATTTGTACAATCAAGACAAATTAACTGACCTCCAGCTCTGTCCCTGCTGTGGGGCAGCTTCTGAGTTATGTGGTTCGAGAGGAGACCCAGCCACATTTGTCTGGTGGGCAGAGCTGTGGATAGCTACACCTGGGACCTGTTGCCATGATGATGGTATGAGGATCTGCTGGGTGCCAGTGGGCCAAGCCTGCTGAAAAAAAAGACACTAACAATTTAGCGCATGTAACATAAAGGAAGAGGGATTTTAGAAATCCAAAGATGATTTGATTGCTGGAATGGGCCAGACAAACTGAGCCATGCTGAAAAACGTAGTCAAGGACTGAAAACACAGAGGCCAAACAATGGGGCAATCTCTGCTATAAGCAAAAGCATAAGGCTAAGGAGGCGAGCAAGTTTCTGAAGCCATTCTCTTATTATAGCATAGCACTAAGACAAATCTATGAGAGGATTTCATGCAAAGCACAGACAATGTGACACTGTAAAAAGAAAAGGGTAAAGAAAGGTGTACAAAAATAGTGCCTGTTAGAAAGAAAAAAAAAATTGAGAGATTAGTCAACGGAGACCAAACTGTCTGCTGTCTTGGAAAAGGGCATGCCACAAGTTCTGGGGCTGAAATAAAAGATGTCAGAGTCAGTCTGAAGAAAATGTATTTTAGTGAACTGTTGTTGTTGCTGCGACTGCTGTAAATCAGAGAAGCTGCAAGCAAAGCACAGACGATCTTGGCAGCACATGCGCTGCATGCCATCAGCACACCTATGGGAAAAAGGCTGTGAGGGAGAGAATGACGGTGTCTCTGTGCCTGTTGAGGGGAACTGCGTCAGCCAGAAATGCCTGAAAATGTCCCTTTTAATTTCTATGGTACAAATGGGAATGGGAACACTGAGGAAGTGTGATTATGACAACCACATCATGTAAGGAAGATGCATTTCAAAATTTGGATGGAGTGAGAAAATCTACTCTCATAGAAATGTGGCACGGGTGTAGAGGGAAAACTGCAGAAGCATGAAGAGATGTGGGGCAGTAGAGAAATGGCCTTGTTAGTGGTAAAATGAGAATGCATGTGCATGGATTTCTTCAGGGACGCCGTCCATTAGCTTTACCAGCACTGTGGCTGTGTGTTCCAGGAGAGTGGGGCGACCCATACCAGTACTCAGCCCCAAGGGCAGAGAATACTGGGGGGCTATGCCTGCTGAGGGTGGGTGAAGGGTGGCCACCATCAGGGGTGTGCAGGAACCCTGGAAGGAGGGGAGGACAGGGAAGGATAGGGGGGACTGTGTTAGGGTCAGAATGAAAGTGTGTATCTTTCAGGTTGTTATTTGTTCAAAACAGGGGGCTGAGCATCAAAAAGGGAAATAACAAAAGGCACACATAGAACTCACACTGGCCACCTGACCTCTTCATGATTTAAGACTCATTTTTGATTTCAGAAAGAAATTATCAAGCATC